AATGAAAAAAATTAGGACGAATAAGAACGAACCTTAGATATAATTGAACGTTTTCCAGATGATTTAGGTCCGATAACAACTGCCGAGCCACCCTCTTTGCTTTTAACTAATAATAGCAATAATATTATATATATGTTTATTTATCAGTTATTGTAAAATATTTCAACAGATCGTAGAAACATATCATTGAGAAATTAGGAAACCTATTCTTTATTTCTAATACAATTATCCATAATGGCTTAATGGATGCATCATAGATAATCAAATCGATTTCTTATTTTTTGCTATTCATTTATTCAATTACTTTCTCTTCCAAATTTAAACGATAATTTAAAACTTTAGAAAAAATTTTATTACTTTAATCTTTGATACTGTGCAAAGTTATTTTTTCATAATTTATTAGCAAATTCTTTAGCAATTTATCGCCTATCTTTTTTTTCATAACAAAATTTTTGATTTCAATTTGTTTATGAATTTATCTAATTTCCTAAAATATTGTATAAATTAACTCATTTGATCATTTAATTTATATTAAGAGATGCAGAGTAGTTATGTAATTTTTCATTAAATAATTTTCCGTCGATTACTTTCTCATTTCACATATTTTAGAAAACTGCTCCATTAAAACGTGATGATCAAAAACTTTTCTTCTCCATTCATTTTTTCTTTCCATTTTTGCACGTATACAAAACGTGATGATCAAAAACTTTTCTTCTCTAATCATTTCTTCTTTCCATTTTTGCACGTATACAAAACGTGATGATTCTTTTGTTTAGAATCTGTTCTACTATGAATTATCAATTTGCAATGGTAAATTCTCATTCTTCTTACCATTTTGCACGTATGCAAGCACATATACACGTGTGCAAAACGTCATGATTCTACTGTTTGGAATCTGTTCTACTATGAATTATCAATTTGCAATGGTAAATTCTAATTAATTATAGATTGTAAATTTTAAATTTCTAAGTATTACATTTTAAATTGTAAACTTCTTATCCTATAGCTAACTTATCCTAATGAAACTGATGCTATCATCATAGCTACAAATTATCCCTTATCAATTATTTTATCAATTATAATTATTTCATATTAACCTTTATTAAAAATATATATTTTTACTTCTTACGCTGAGATCCTACAAACTTATGCACACGTATGCAAGCGTATGTAAGCGTAAACGGAAACATGCTTATATATTTTGTTACATTAAATGATTTTTAAATGGTTCCTACAAATGGTTTTTAAATTGATTATGCAAAAATGAAAGATAAGAATTAATTTAAATATACATTGCATTTTTTTGAAAAAAACAATATGCAAAATTAAAATTGCTAACATATATCAAAATAAATCTGTTGAACTATAAATTTTGGATAATTTAAATATCTTTAAAAAAATGTAATGTATATTTAAATTAATTCCTATTTTTCATTTTGCATAATCAATTCAATAAAATCATTTGTTGAAAATATTGCCGAATATCCTGTATATCGCGCTACAATTCACACATATTCCAGGGAATGTTTCTACGACAGCTGCATAAATGAAATTGCAATTGAAACAAATAATTCGAATTTTATTTACAAATGTTTATTTACAAATTTTCAAATTGAATCATAACAAAAATATTTACTGTTATTGTAACATTTCACAAATATAAAAATTATTACTCAATCATTAAATCAAATTGAATTTATTGATTTAAATTAATTTAATTGAATAAAACAAAAGAAGCACAGAGAATGGCATTTTTACTTTATTAAATCATACAAAAAATTAAAAATGTTAAATACATATAAATGAAATCATTAAGCATAGATTTTTAATGAATTAAAATTATTACGAATATTTTTCAAAAATGTTGAAAAAACAAATAAACTTTAGCAATGATTATTATTGGTATTTCATTATCTCTTTTGTTTTCTTTTATCATAAAATTTAATTATTATAATTAATGTAACTTATTAAAAGATAATAATTATCAATGAATATTTTTCTAAAATTTTCCCTTCTTTCTTCCATTTTCCATTCCCCCTATCATTTGCAATAATAATAATAATCTCCAACTTTCTTATCACTAAAATAAATAATCCTTCTAAACTTTTACACGACAACTTTTAGTTTCATCTATCATTTCACAATCTGCTATTATATTTCAATTAAATTGTTCACTTTTTCCAATTTGTTTCTATCCCTTATCATTGTTGTATTTTCGCCGATTTGTCCGTTATCACTGTTGTATTTTCGCTTTAACTTCTATCCGTTATCATTGTTGCATTTTCGCTCAAACTTTTTCGCCTTTTTTTCTATTTTTAAAAATAATATTTGCGAGGATTTTACAAATATATCAAATTTTTATCATAATTTCTATTCATTTTGTTGAGCACAAAGATTAGTATCATTAATTAGTAAATAGATAATTAATTTCTCAATGAGTACGACTGTTTACCTATTAGTGTTTACCTTTGCTTTTTAGTGCTAATTGGATTTAATTAATTTTCTGTATTTTTTCGACCATATTACTTTTATATTTTATTATTGATCAAAATCGTTTCGAAAAGATTTGATTGATTTAAAAAATTTTAATTTGCAATTTTGGATTTGTAATTTTGGAATAATTTTGGAAAGCATAAAATTTCGAAATATTCTAAATACTGTATTGTTTTAAGATATTTTTCATATCAAAAAATTTTAATTAAACTAGATAAAATATGAATCATAAATATTTAAGTATGTGATAAGTATGTGCCAAAAAAAAATTTCATCATTAAAATATTATCAAACATGTTTGAAGAGAGAAATAGGTTGAAAATTTCAAGCTAAGATTAATTGTTTGGTAATATTAATGAATTCAGTTAATGATTTCCGGCAATCGTATAATTTACCAATTACAAATTATTGCTTGCTATTTGTTATCAGTACTTCTATGTTTGCATTATTTTTGCATTACAAACATGTAATTCATGAACTCTTGCAGGAAATGAATATTTTATTAACAATATTTTGGTTTCTATTACCTATTCCAGCTTCTAGCATACAATGTATAAATGGTGGTGAATGGATTGCACATGCATGCACAATGGATGCGCAATGTGAACCGTATAAAATTAAATCAACAGATCGTGTTGCATGTCTTGATTCGGAATGCTGCACAATGCCATGTTCAAATAATGGTACATTTATAGGAAAAGCATGCGGTACATCTTATGATTGCTTGCCATCAACGGAAAAAGTTGCATGCCTTTCTGGTGTATGTTGCACTGTAAGTTTAATAACAAATAAATTATTGAATTGATACTTTGATAAAACGAATAAAAGGAAAAGGTGAAAAAAACTAAAGATTTGATCAAAGACTTGATCATAAAAGGATTATAGGATTGAGAATTGAAAAGAGATAGAATAACAAATATTGATTGATTACTATCGGATATTGATTGATTGATAGATATGTATATGCTTGTTGGTAGTAATCAATATTCATTGATAAAATTGGTGATATTAATTAATAAGTTCAATATTTGATTAAGTTCTATGTTTTATTTTTGAAAAAATGATTTTTAGGTACCTCAGACATGTCCATATGGTGGTGAAGTAATTGGTTTGGAATGTAATAATTCAAAATCATGCGAATGCTTAGCACCGGGAGTTCCTGTATTATGCATTCAAACTATATGTTGTGCTTATCAATCACCTAATTATTTTTATTATAGTCAATTGATATAAAATTTCGATTGGTAATAAATTTCTTTCTTTTTGTGATAGTCTTAAATATCCACTGTAAATATTTTATTTTGGTGGAAAAGTTAATGTGAATCAATCTGAACAAAATTTCTATTAACATAGTGATTGACCTATGAACCCAATCTTGCTAAAACTAGTATGAGAAGAGTGTGTCATTGTTAGTATTATCATTTATTCATTCATAATGAAGTAATGTTTTGGAAAGCTATTTCGTCATCGTAGAATAATTTGACCTTAGAAAAGCAAATTGATTATTTTGATAAGCTTTATTTACTAGATTAGAATAAACTGATAAAAAGAAATGGATCAATTAAAAAGGTGTAAAAATTTGAGAGGAAAGTGAAATAAGAGAATTTTTATATGGCACATAATTACCAGAACATTAAAAAGATAATAATTAAAAATAAGCTTAATGAATCAAAAAAATATATTAAAATAAAAGTACAAACAACCGAGAAGGAAATTAAGAAAACCAATTATTCCTTTTTCAACAATTTCAGCTCACCAAATATAGCCTGAAATATAGCCTGACTTTATATGAAAAAAAATATAGCCTGACCTTATATGAAAGAAAATATAGCTTGACCTTATTTGAACTTAGACAGCATTCACTTGTGGGAATTACTTGTCAGGTAAAGAGTTATATAGTTGCCGCAAAAATTGACACTAGTCTAAAAAGTCACTAACATAAATGTTCTGAATTTCAACAAATGACGGATAAATTATAGTGAACGATTCAGCGGAAATTTCAGGAAGCATAGTCAGAATCTAAATTAGAATCACTACAAATTTGATCTTACAGGCTGATAATTAAACTAAAGAAAAGAAAGAGCAATATTCAATACATTTATTACTCTTCGTTAATATAAGTTTCTGTCAGCAAATCAAACTGATATATTCAGAAAGCAAAGCCAACGATTCGAAAAGTGCTGTATTGGATTAGTGCATTCATTATTCTGACAAATATTATAAGCCTAAAAATTCTTGCAGTAAGCGAAAATATATTTTTCCGTCTGTGCAATCAAATTGCATGTATTGTTTTCCATTTCAGTTTTTGTTGATTTTGCTGATTGGCCTTACATTTCGGCAATCAATTTGTGAGCCATTTCTCACTCATTGAAATGATGCGACATTTGTGTGACAATAAACTGTAAATACTTTCTTAATGTTATTAACCCCGAGATAATCCAAAGTTTCGATTTCAATTCAATTCAATTGCTATGGAAGATTGACTCATTCAATTACATTTTAGTATTTTTTAAATTTAATATTTCCTTTTTTGCATTAATTGTTTTTTGGGATATTATTAGATAGAAGTACGGTATTGCCATGGAATAACCTAAAATAGCATTTCAGATTTCTTTCTTTAATCCTTTATTGTTTCACAAAGGAATTGAACATATTTTACAACAACGAGTATGAGTGATATTCATTGTTTGTAAATTGACAAACAGTTCACAGTCGTAAAATATGGTGTTGGCCAATATTTGTATTGCGGTCTGCGGTTCCGCTCGATAAATAACTTTTCAGTCGGAATGCAAAACATACGCAATGAAATTTTAGAGGGTATCAGTGAGGAAGGATGCAATTTTTGTTCTATTCTTTAGTAACCACCGTTCTGGCACAGTATGAACTGGCTAATTTCAAGTGTCCTGTCGGTGAATATGCTATAGCTTTGGGTTGCTCCAATGCCCAACAATGTAAACCTTTTACAAGTGATCCGGTTGACTGCATTAGGAGTGCATGCTGTGTCAAATCAAACTATTCCACTCCACTGCCATATTCCGTTTCATTAATTTGCAGTAATGGCGGAATAGCCGTGGTAGTTGGTTGCATCAAATCCCAACAATGTCTTCCATTCACCAAAGAACCTGTCGCTTGTTTACAAGGAGTTTGTTGTACGGTTCGTTTCCTATTTTCTCCTAATTTCGAGACAATTTAAGTATTAAATTCTCAAACCGTTCAAATCTGCGGTTTCGTTTGATGAATAATTTTTCGCCGGAATGCAAAATGAAGTGGCTTTAGCAATTGTGCTTTTAACAGCGAAAGGAATGAAATGAATCGTTTTCTTAAGGTACCACAGAAATGCCCAAATGGTGGACGTATTATTGGATTACAGTGTACAACTTCAGAATCATGTATTCCGCTAGCCGAAGGATGTCCGGTGATGTGCATCGATACAATGTGTTGCACTTATTGATAACATTAATATCAAATCATGATTCGTTCCTCCTTTCCTTTGCTTTATCAATATTTTTGCCTTTTATCTGATGTTTTGGTTATTTCTATTTTAATGTTTCGAAGATATAAATTTAAACGAACTAACCTTCGAATGTTTTATTGTTGTTTTAAGAATCTCATTGTGAAATTGTGCACAGAAGCATTTGATTCTTATAATTCTTATTCTATTACTTATAATTCTTTCATGATATCATATGTATTTTACTAATTCATTAATATGTTTGCCGTTAATTTTTATCATAGCACTTTTCTTCCTCTTATCGATCTAATTTTTATTGTTTTTAATTTATTTCAGGTAATTTTATTCGATTTGCATAATGTATAATTTTCTTAATTTTATCGGAAAATAATTACAAATTTATTAATAAATTCTGTAACATTTCATTTATTACAGTAGGCTGTGGTATCACTAAGATTTCGGAAATTATCTCAGCAGATTTAACACTTTTTCTCTTTCAGCAAAGATAAGAATAAGATAAATTAATTAATTAATAATTAATTGACATTTAATAATTAATTAATTAGTTATTAATATCCAATGTAAAATAAATTAAAATAAGAGTATACGGGGGATAAGTTTAAAATAAGTTAAGATAAAAGTGCATTGAATAAGTTAAATTTCTCCTCCAGAAATTTTTGAAAATATGATATGATAAACTAATATATGATTAGGCCCTTTTTATTGCATTTATTTGGCTTTATTGAATAGTTAAACTTAATCAGTGATAATATTAGTACTTTATTCGAAATATCAGGTCAATAATTCATCCTAAATTTTGACGTAAATATGACCATATCAGCCATGTCAGGTCAATAATTCATCCTAAATTTTGACGTAAATATGACCATATCAGGTCAATAATTCATCCTAAATTTTGACGTAAAAGTGTTTGTCTCAGTCTAAACTATGAAAGTAAAGAATGTGACGAATTTAGATTTGTAAGATCCTATAATTGAAGCGTCAGTAATTAATTTCATATTTGCAAAATTCCGAATTTTGCTATTCTTTTTGATTTGTTATTGATTGAATTTTTAATATAGCTTATTTTGATTAAATTTCCAATTATTTTTGAATAATATTTTTACGTGAATATATGATAATATATAAACCTGAATTGATTAAAAGTATTGGGAATTTCTGCATTTTTCATCATTCACTCAATACCATTACTCATTCCCATTTGTTCAATGCATAAATTCTATTAAAGATGAAGCTTATAAAAATAACATCATAACATATAAGCTTATTTTAGAGCTTAAAATTCATGTATTAGGTCTTCAAAATACATTTTATTTAAAATCGATGAACTGAGCTGATTCATAAAAAAAGGAGCTGATTTATAAAAACGACGATGTATCATTTGTTTTACAACTTTCTTCCTTATTTTTCTCGCTTCTCAGCTGTCATCATTTATTTACTTCACTGCAGCCTATTTGAAATTTTCAACAAAAAATCAATTTTAAAATTCTAAAATCTCAGAAATGTGAATATCCATTAATTAATGGATGATGATGATGATGATGATGAATGATGTCAGCTACTCCTATTATTAATGCTGCCGACTAATAGATGAAAATCTTGACATCCTATTTTTTAAATCGATACACTCACCGAATTTCTCCAATATTTTGTCGTAGCATTAAGTTATACCTATATTCATTCATTAGGAATTTAATGTTTTAAGTATTTATTTTCAAGTACTGATTTGGTAATATCAATCTGCTTAATTTAATTAGTCAGCACATTATTAAATTAAATTTTTCCTTTTAATGATGCAACTAAAATTATCTCCATTGTTCATTTCATACTTTCTTTAAAGTTTTAAGTGTTCCCAAATTTAATGTTGCAAAAGTTTCATTTCTGTAAACTAAATAAATAATTAAGCAAATTGTCAATTTTAAATTATACGTAATACGAATTTATAAGCTAACCTCAAAAGAATGCGCCTAAAACGATTATAATAAATATGAAAATTAGAATTTAGATCGTTCAGAATTTAATTTAGGAGACTTATTACTTATATTATATCAAATGCTCTGTTCTCTTCTTGATCTTTTTTAATTAGTTACTTTTCCGTTTCAGTAATCTTTAACCTTTTCTTTTTTGAATTGTAGTTTTATTTTGCTGAAAATATTATTGCATACTATTTTCTGCAAAAGAAAAAAGATAAACTTTTGGCGTAGTACGCAGAAAACTGTAATTATTTTGTTGTAACTAGCGATTGAAAAAGTTTATTCCAATTTCAACAAAAATCGTTGAAAGTAATTATTGAATAATTAATATAACAGTAGAGTTTAAGGGGTGAGAAATTAGAAACTATAGAGAGATACGATACGAGCAGAAGGTTATCTGTCGGTTCATGTATTTAAGTTATTGTTTCTTTTTTGTTCAGTTCAACAGAAATTGCAGTAAAAAGCGAACAAACGACATCAACATCATCATATGTGGGTCAAAGGTCAAAGAAAGCTCAAAAAATGTCCAATCCTAAGCGATTTGTTGTATCTAATAATTATTTATAGTGTATTCAAATAAATCTATTAAATCTTTAAAACAAAAACTTCAGAAGCTCACATATGAAGTATACCTCTGTTTAGTCGTATTCTTTGGGCTTATAGGAGAAAGAGCGAGATTAAATAGAATGACATGAAATTAAATTTAGCTTCATATAATTTTATTGAATTAATATGCGAGACAATATCACAACGTTTCAATTAATTATGTATTCATGGTAATTAAATTTCAATATATTAAATAATTATTATCTCTGCTTATTCCTTTCTTTAAACAAGAATGAAAGCTTTTGAAAATTAATGAAGTGAGAGAAAAAAATTAATTAGCATATAAGATGCTGCATTTTTCCATTAACTGTATCATGATAAGTTAACAAGTCGTACTCTGTTGATTTATTACGTGACCACTGCTTGCTTAATACTTGTAAATTACCAATCAACATTTGCTTATCGTTTGATGGAAGTTTAGTTATCTGGTGAGAAATTGTCTTATTCGATAGTAGCACTCGTTTTAGGATTGAAAATTCAATGTCAGATAAAATGGATCAAGGAAGTACCATGCGTATTTCAGTGATAGATGTTGGGTCAAGGGAGTGCCGCATATATTTCAACGATAGATGATAGATCGAGGGAGTACCACAAATATTTCAATGATGGTTGATAGATCAGGGGAGTACTGCGAATATTTCAATGATAGATGATAGATCAAGTGAATACCATAGATATTTCAATGATAGATCAAGGGAGTGCCACACATATTTCAACGATAGATGATAGATCGAGGGAGTACTACAAATATTTCAATGATGGTTAATAGATCAGGGGAGTACCACGCATATTTCGATGATAGATGATAGATCAAGGCAGTACCGCAAATATTTCAATTTTATATTAATTTATTGCATCAAAAATGTCGTCCGCATAATTATCGCTTAGAAATTAGCTTTGAATGCGTTGCACAAAAGATTAGACAACAAAGAACTTATCATAGATTCAATTAATTTATTTGTTCTTGTGAGACTATATTCATTCATAGTTTTAAGAAATGATTAGGCCGGAAAATTTTAACTGTTCAATGTATCGAATTGAAATATTCATTAATTGCTAATTATTCATTAATAAAATTTCGCCAAAACTTTTCAATAAGTTGAAAATTTGCTAATTGGCACTGTCACTTATTAAATCAGCTAGTTCATAATATCACTTTTCAATGTTTACATTTATCAATATCATGCAAAGATTAAATGGATCGATCAAACGAACTTTTGATTCTTTTCAAAACTATAAACTGTGTATGATGGTGAATGGATAATATGCTGAGCATCATTGTATGTAAATTTGTCAACTTCTTCTTCACTTTAATTTTTAGTTCGTAAAATTGTTGGATAGATAGAGGTGAGAAGTTAAAATTAGCAGTTGAAAAAAAAGGTGAATAAAATGATTACCGATAAAATATAGAAATGAAATCATTTCCTCCCATTTTCGATTCGGAATTAAGGTGAAGTTAATTTTAGGTACCTAATAAAATGAAGGAATGAAATTACTTCCAGTTATTTTTGATTTCAAATAAGTTATTTTGTTTTTGAATTAAAGTGAAATTAATTTCGGGTACCAATAAAATTTTTTTTTGTATTCAAATAACATTGCTTAAATAATATTCTTAGCTTCGTCATCTTTCCCTTTCATTTTACCGCAACCAATTTCGAATTCCAAAATTTCCCTTTGATTCATAGCTGTTTAAATTAATCCCTTTTTTTTCAGTAAAATTTTTGATGAGATTAATTTATTTCATCGATGATCAATGTTTAATGTTACCTTTCAACGATAATAGCAATCACATAGACTTTATCATTGAGAAATCAACAGTACCCGAAAAACTGACCAATATGTGTAGAGCAAAATTTTGCATATCATAAAATTTTAAAATATAAAATTTTTCATTACACTGCAAAAATCAATACATATACTTATTTATTCGACTAATTGCTACGTAAAATTTCGGTAACGTTGGAAAAATTTGCTAATACCTAAAATTTCCTTAGCTTATTCAAGCGAACAATCCATTCCATCCGTACAGTATCATATAATTCTCCAAACAAAAAAAAAAGAGTACTTTGAAAATATGTTTTGTTAACTTAATTACATATAATTAAAATCTATTATGCAAAAATATGTATCGTTAACTTAATTGCTAATTAAAATGGCCTCTAATTTTTTTTATCTACGTTATGTTTAGTAACTAATTAATTAAAGTGATTTTTTTGTTTAAAAAAGTATATAATTAAAGTCTATTATGCAAAAATATGCAACGTTAACTTATTTGCTAATTAAAATGGTCTCTAATTTTTTTTATCTACGTTATGTTTAGTAACTAATTAATTAAAGTGATTTTTTTTTTGTTTAAAAAAGCATATAATTAAAATCTATTATGCAAACTTTTACTGAATC